ACTCGACGAGTTAAACTGTCAAACCCAGCGAAGACACCGGTGACCGCAACCTATTGTTCTTTAATTGTGTCTATAATGACGGTACTCAAAGGGTTTAAAAAACTGTAGGGTGAGCATCCTTCGCACCGCAGAAGTCCGCGTTACAAACGGATCTATTAGATACTCTTTACACAGGTTGTTAAGTTGTTCAACGTTTATTGAGGTACTTGTCTAAAATCATCACATTACAGCAGCTACCTTGCTGATAATCGTGGTGTGGCAATAATTTCAAATGTGACGATATGTGGTGTTGCAGGTATACTGGGCGGGTCCGCTGGGCGGCGCGGCGCTGGCGGCACTAGCGCACCGCTGGGTGCTGACGCCCCGGCCGCGCGCGCGCGCCGACCCTGCTGAACTGCCGCTGCAGGACAAACCAGACCAGCCCTAGTGTTCCTATACTTATGAATTTGATTAAATTACATTTCAATTAAGTACCTAAAGTTTTTTTATTTTATTTTTGACAGATACGATAAGTTACACATGGTGGTTCGCACCAGTTAAGTTTGATAGATATAAATCCCATCTACATAATGTATATAGGTACGACCGTTGCGCAGACTGATGGTAGCCTTGACGCTACGCTCCCCTCGATTGGTCGCACAATCCTCCCTGTCACGAATACTGATTTAGTGATAATGACTTCGTCAAACATAAATTGTTCCTACTCATAAATTTATAATCAATCCAAAAGTATTATTTCTAATAGAACCTGTAATTCCTGAGATTAGCGTGTTCGAACAAATAAACTAACTCTTCAGCTTTATATATATAATAGTATAAGATTTTTCTAATAAAAACATTAATCTCGTAATAAAAAATCATTGAAACCTTTCGTTTTTAACATTTAAAAAGTTCTGAATTTGACTAGTTGTCATAACCCCATTGGGTAACATCACACAATACTCCTTTAAAAAACCAAAATCTAATAAATAACAAACAAAAATTCAAAACTAAAAAGCAAAAAATAACTATTATTAGTACTGATAGGTTACCCACCCACTGATAGGTAAGAAGTCGGTGCCATAAGTTCCATACAAAATTATTCATTATTTATGGCACCGACTTCTAACCTATCAGTGGGCGGGTAACCTATCAGTCTTAATAATAGTTATTTTTTGCTTTTGACTTTTTGTTTGTTATTAGTTTTTGGTTTTTTGAAGTCGGTTTTTTAAACGCAGTTTTTATTTTATTATTTTATCATTTTCAGTGTAAAGCAACATAAACCCGTTTTGTTACTTTAACTCGTCGAGTACCGGTTTTATAGACACAATTAAAGAACAATAGGTCGCGGTCACCGGTGACCGCTTGGTGTTTGACAGTTTAATCTACAAAGGTGCAAAGTTCTAATCAATACAAATTATACAAGCCCAAACACAAGGTAGTTACAATATACCGATGAGGAGTTCCCTTAACAATTACCTACACTTCTTCATTATCAGACCCTTAATGACAGCCCCACTCTATCTAGGTGTAAAGTCCTCATCAATACAAATTAATCAAGCCAAAACACAAGGTAGTTAATATAAACCGCTGAGAAGATCCCTCGACTGTCTGTCCGCTTTCCCCTCGGTTTCCCTAGGATCCCATCATCAGATCCTGACCTCATGGAAATGGGACTATCTCGGGAGTATACCCTTTCAAACAAAACAAGATTTTTTTTAAATCGGTTTACAAATGGCGGAGTACTGAGCGAACAAACAAAAAAAAAAAAAACAATCAGCCAAACATAGTACCTCCTCCTTTTATTGAAGTCAGTAAAAACACTGCAGTGTGATGTAGACATTCGATTCCTGCAAAGAAAAACGTAATTTCATTTAAGTTGGGTATGACTGTTCAACTATTGTGGACTCTGGATGTGATGTGTATTTATTTGAAACTTGTGCAAGTTCATTAAATATTCACGCGATACGGATGGAATGGGGGCTAGCATCGTAACTCGAGAGTACGAAATTTCACAATACCAATATAAGCCTCCTGTTCGGTGCAACCTATCAGCTCAGAGGTTCAGAGGAGCGTCAGCTCAGAGGAGGTTCCGTGCGAAACCTACCAGCTCAGAGGCCTTAGTACGAGTTTGTTTTACGTTTAAAGTATTCGAAACGAGTACGCGTTCAGCACTCTGATTGGCCGGCGCCAATAAACCAACCAATTAGAGCGCCGAACGCGTACTCGTTTTAAACCATTGAGTACAGTCATTATAGACACAATTAAAGAACAATAGGTTGCGGTCACCGGTGTCCTCGCGGTGTTTGACAGTTGAAGTTCACATTTGGCTAGTTGTAGACTGTTACGATTAATGCAAAGGTAAAACACACTCGTACTAACTGAGGCCTTAGTAGTACTTGCCTTTACGAGCGCTAACTCATACACCTGTCGAGCTTCGAAACCTTTATAGGTAACCCTTCCACAAGACAATTAAATTGCTGATTGAATTGGGGATAATTGGATCGTCCATTTACACGTAGTACACAATACATCATTAACGAGTCAATTAACATAGTCACAATTAACGAGCGTCCAAAAACAGATATGTTCCATCTTTTCAATTTATGTAAGTAAAACAACAAACTAAACTAACAAAAAGACTAAATTAAAACTTTACTGCTTAATTATTAGAAGATGTTATTCATCAAATGAACGTTTAACTATTATTTTACCTTTATTTGTTTTTGACTCGACCCAATAACAGTATTAATTATCACAAACGCATCGACAACCAAGCCATTTTGAACATCAGTTTTAGAACCTGCACGAAAGAAAGCTGCTTGGGAGTCTGGGAGGGTAATTTCACAAAAATCCTAACACCGCGATTTATGATTGCGACGAATCGGTACAGCCAGTAAATTATATCTTCGCGCTTTGAGTCTCTCTTTTGAATGGATTGTCCGATTTGAGTAATTCAAAAAGTAATTAGTAGGTGTTAAAACATACTTGAATAATTATGAAAATATTGATTATAATAAGAATGAATAGAATATTGTCGCATTTTAGTTTTAATGATTGATGTGATGATGATGCACTTCTTTAGATTGACATAACTTTTTTTTTATGAACCGATTTACACAAAACAAAGACTAAATATTAATCCCAGCAAACCGCAACGCAATAGTGAAACCACATTCAATTAGGTTAAACCGATTTTGACGTTATAGTACATAAAGTTTGCCGAATAAAGTTTTTCTTATTTATCTTCCATGTCTGTACATGAAAGATAAATACCGATAATAATACCGACCTTTTACAATTTTATTATATGTATTGATTTAATTATCTGTTATAGCTTTTACCCGCGGCTTCGCTCGCGTCATAAAAGGATAAAAAGTAGCCTTTGTGACATATACCAAACACACAGCGCCATCTATACCAACACTTTTGTTTTCAATCGGAAATATCAATTTTTTCCGGGATAAAAATTATCCTATTATTTAATCCGGACTTCTAACTTTACGTCTGCAAAAATTCAAAGCAATCGGTTTAGTAGTCACGGCGTGAAAGCGGAACAAACAAACAAACAAACAAATTCACTTTCCGATTTATAATATTAGTAAGGATTAGTAAGGATAAACCCCATTATACACCTGTCTACACACGGTGATGTGTACTTGGAAGCATTTCCAATGTTTTTAAATTGCGTCATAAAAACAATATAATAATAATGTTGGGTTGAAAAATGGTGACAGAAACGAATTGTCGAAAAACTGACTTAACGCGGGGCACCTCGTGTCCACGTCATCTCGTCCATCTCAACTCGCGGGCCGCCCGTATCGCTCCGTTCAAACGCGGGTTTTTTTTAAGGGGGGAAATCATCGAATGACTGCTCCCTCCTGGATGAGCCGGGAGGGAGTGTCAGACTCTTACTGACTAAAAACCACCCCGTTCTTACTCCCGCACTTCGACTGGGACTCCGTATCGGCATCAGCCCTATTGGGCCCCAGGGGCCGTTCAAGTATTACGTAAGCAACATGGGGGGTGGGGGGGTCTCTGTTTTGCTTATTTCGAATGATATGGGGGGTAGGGGAGTCTAGATGATGATTACGTCATCGGTAGTTATTTACTTTTTTACACTAATGGCAACCCTCATATTGAAATTATAAATTAAAAGCAAAGACCGACAAAGAACGAGACATTATGGTATTTGGAGAATATTAAAATTACAATATAAAAAACATTAATTTAAAATGTTTACGTAAGCAAAGGGGGAGGGGGTAAGATCTTTGCTTACTTTTGCTGACAAGGGGGGTGGGGGGATAAGTAATTGTAAAAAATCTGCGTACGTAATATTTGAACGGCCCCCCATCCGAAAAAGCTTGACTTTTTTGTTAAAATACCTGCAATTTAAAGCAAACTAAAGGCTCCTTGGTAGGATTTGCTGCTGGCCCCGTATTGGATTAATCTTTCACGGGTGTTAAGCATATTTAGGATTTCATCAGGGAAACATGGCGTCGTTTGGAGGCCCCTCAGGATCTCCGGGACGCTCCGCTCCCCCCATTACAAATATGTGCTCGGTTTTGACACAATGAATAGCAAGTTAGCTGGGTGTAATCAGTCAGAAGATGACGATTATTAAAAAAACCAAATCATATTTTGTCACTATTATATTAATTAAAGTCTAAAGCAATAGGAATACCATAATTACAACTATAACTACTTATTATAAAAACGGGCCGTAATATTGATGTATTAATAACAAAATTTATTTTGCAAGTCCTACCGTAGTCCAAATAGGTATTTTTGATGGTATTTTAATAAAACGAAATACGAATTTTGTCAAATGAAATCGCGTCGAAGACTAACGAATTGCATTATAGTATAGCGGCCCGTCTGCGGCCAGTCCGAGCCAGTCAGCGACCAGTCTGAGCTAGTCAGCTGCGAGTCCGTGCCAGTCAGCGCCCAGTCCGAGCCAGTCAGCGGACACGAGGCAGCGAGGTGTTGAGGCGCGCGGCGCGGCCGTGCGCTGAGCTGCCTCATAACCGCTTGAGTACTCGGCGCGCCGCCTTGCCCGCGCCCGCCCCCGCGCCCCCCGCGCCCGCGCGTCGCTCGCGCTTGGCCTGCGGCCCGCTGTCTCCATCCGCTGCCACGCCGCTCGCCGCGCTGCCGTCCGACGCGTCGCCGCCCTCCTGGAATTAAACGTCGGTCATTCTGTGCCACTCAGGACGTCGAATAAACGATAGAGATAGATACGAGAACCTAACGGGTTACCGGGGCTCCGGCTCGACGTGCAGGAGAAGGAACGGGGTGGTTTATAGTCAGTAAGAGTTTGACACTCCCTCCCGCCTCACCCAGGCGGGAGCAGTCATTCGATGATTTTTCCCCCTTAAAAAAAGGCCTTACACAAGATTTTCCCAGAAATCCTACGGGAACGGGAACTAGGCGTTAAAATCCCGCAATACCGTTTCTTTCAAATTAATTGAGATTCCGTACAATGCTGGCTTAACACCTGAAAAAGGACTAGATAAGTTTTATCTTGAAAACCCAACGGGACCGGATTCCTAATAAACTACAAAACCTATTTGATTAAAATTCTATACAATGAAAGTTTGAGACCCGAGACCTTCTAGGTCCTTACCTACACAGGTTTTAACCTGGAAACGGTACGGGATCGGGAACTACGAGTTTAAATCGTTTGTATTTTCAACTACTGAGCCCATTTCACTAAAATTCCGTACAATAATAGATTTAAATCCGAAGGGGTAGAAACACTTGGGCCATGGGGTCCCAGTGCACACTCTGTGTTTAAAGACATCGCCCGTAGGCTAATCGACTCTACACGTGACCAGAGGGCTGGCTTTTTCTTCGGACAGAAAATAAGCATTGCCATTCAACGTGGCAATGCTGCCAGTCTTCTGGGAACTTTCCCCTGTGATAGTGATGCGGACGAATACTTTGACGCCTAAATTAAGGGTATAATTTTTGTTGTTTTCTTTTACTTTCTTTTTATTTAATAGTTTAGTTGTAGTTAATTTTAAGTTGTAAATATTTATGTAGTTATATAAATTACAATTTAATCCGAAGGGAAATAGAAAGGTTTAATTCTGAAAACCCCATGGGAACGGAAACTACGCGTTATAATCCCCGGACGCCTTTTTTTTAACAACTGAACCTGTTTGACTGAATTTCTGTCGAGAAAGGACATAGAATAGTTTTTATTCCAAAAATCTCACAGAAACGGCAACTGTACGGGTAAAACCTGATTAGAGTAAAATATGTATATTAACATTTTTTATAATAGATATCCTACGTAAACGATGCCTACGTGCGTAAAACTACAATATTATAATTACGTATTTATTAATAACCACGTAATGTTTTACAAGCTCACAATGAAGGTAAACTAACGTACTGACTTGGAACTTATATAGAAATAGGCCTTAGAAAAGGGGACAAGTCAAAAATCTAAATTCTGCCTGATGTTATTTATCGGTAAACGAAGTCGCGATAAGTGATCCGTTTAGTACTTTTTAACCGTCATTTAAAGCACAATTTTATGGAGCATGTGGCCATTTGTGCGTGTACTTTTTCTGTTTACAAATTAATTTTGTGGCGTGCATGCACGTAGTGACGTCTAGGTAACACGATTGATACTACCTACTTGACAGTACGGTTGCCATCCGTCCGGGTTTCCCCGGATTTGTCCTAGTTTAGAGGGCATCCGGGGAGCGTCCGGGGAAGGTTTCATTTATAGATTGGATTTTAAAAAATAAATAAAAAATAAATAACAAAAAAATTGAAAAATAAATAAAAATAACAACACAGAGTGGACTCTTATTGAAGACACTGTCCTCTATTTGAAAGACAAAAAACATAGACATTGACGACACGTCCTCGCAGTGATGACACCCGGACGTTTCCTCCCGCCCCATTAGACACAGGTACCTCCCGAAACTTCCATGTTCGGTGAGGACCTGCGTCATGCGGTAAGTGAGGACGCCGTAGCGTCTCTCAAGCCACTCCTCAAAGAGGGGACTTACCGCTGCAATGGCAGCGAGCCCAGCCGTCGATTGCGACAGTCGTTGCTGCCATTCCTGCATGAGATCGCGCCGGGGCTCATCCCGCCACGCACTTATCTGGCGCGGCAGCAGAGTTTCGCCCCGGCGACGTGCCTCCGCGCGCATGCGATACACGCGCGCGAGCACCTTCGCCTCCAGATCCCACGGCGGTAATCCGGCAAGGAGGTTCGCCGACTCCCCGGAGATCGTGCGGTATCCGCGGATCATTCGGATCGCCATGACCCTCTGTGACATGAGCAGCGTCCGAGCGGGACGCCGCAACAGGTTCGGTGCCCACACAGGGGCGCCGTAGAGCGTCATGGACCGCACGACCCCCGCGTATAACCTCCGGGAGAGTAAGGGCTACCATGTTATTCAGGCTAGGCCATTTGCTCTTTCCAGCCGATGAACTATTTCACATTAAAAGCCCATGCACTTGTCAAGGGGTTGTTTAGGGCGATGTTTTAGTTGATCGGTAGTCGGTATGTAACTATATTGTTTTACAAACTTCACTGTTTTCCAAATTAATTTCTATAAAACGGTGCTGCAGCACGCGTAGACCATGCGAGGCTGGCAATAACTCACCCGACGACGCGGCGGCGCGGACTGGGGAGCGCGCGCGTGGATGTCTGTGAGCAGCTTGGCGCGCGCGAAGTAGTCGTCGTAGCGGTCCCGCAATAGCGCGGCCGCCTCGGCGTTGAGCGCTGACTCCGCGTTGGGCGCGATGAGCAGACACTTGACGGCCAGCAGCGCGTGCTCCAGCCCTAGCTCGGGGCGCCAGTCGCGCTTTAGTGTGTTGACGCAGACCTCGCCCGAGTCGGGCGCCACGTTGGGGTGGAAGAGCTTGGTGAGGAAGTAGGCGCGCGGGGGCGCGGCCGGGAACTCGCGCCCCAGTACCAGGCGCACGCGGAATGTGCCACCCGCGTAAGGCGTGCCCGCTGCAATTAAAGTCAAAAATTTATTTGTAAAAATTATAGATGACTTTTACTACATCGGAATCAGTATTATTAAATTATTATTGTTAAGTATTTTTTGTTTAACTCGGAAATCACACTGTATGGTCCCGGGTGCTTACTCTTGAAACCAATCTCAATGTCAATGCAATTTCAATCCAATAAAATCTCAATAATTATCCAATGTCAAAACTATACAACCCCTACCGTAGCAGGTAAAGTAGCATTTAGAGTATGGAATATAAAACCAAACTCAATATCATTTAGTTCATGAAATATCTACGCAATACGGATGCAAAAGGCGCTAGTGTTACAAGTCAAGAGTACGAAATTTCACAATGTCAATGTCGATCGATCGGAATTGGATTCAAGAGTAAGCACCCAGGTCCTCAGTTGTAGGTTGAATGGGAGTTGACAGTAACCACAGAGTTCCTAATGATAGTGTAGAGCTTAACATATTTGTGTAAGGAGTGAAATGGTCTGCACTTGTTTAAATTCGGTATGAGAATGTTTAATTATAAATCAAATTAATATTTTAGTTTAGTTATTCATAAAAGTTGCACAAAGGTAAAGTTGAATCTGTGGTACTGTGGTCAGTTCTAAGACAGTAATTGGGTGTGTGTTACCCAGGCCAGATGTTGTCGAAAATGGTCATTTGAATCTTATAGATAATTAGTTGTGCGGCTACTGTAATTGTTGCGCAAATTTTTAAATTTATAATTAAAGTCGTTCTCTTCCTAATGACTTTAATTGTATTATCTCATTAATTATCCAGTGTATTGAGCTGAAATTTTACTGATGTATAACTGAACTAAACAAATAATTATTGACATAACATTCAGTTCAAAAATCGCTTTATACACTAGGCAAATACAGTGGGGCCCCGGTAATCCGGCACCCCCTATTATCCGACATCGTATATTACATACATGTATTCATTAATTCACGATTGAACAAGTAACAACTTATACGTACTATCACTATTGTGCTCGACGCGTAGGGTATTGTTTTGATTCTGATTGCTTGGTTTTAAATTGATTCATAAAGTTTGATTATTTTAGTACATATGTACATTTGTTTCTAAACTTGAGGTTTTTTTAATTTACTAAATTTGCCATACATAACGAAGTATGATTTGTAATCTTATCATTGGATCTGTAATTCCGGATTACAAGGTACTCCTTGGTAAAGTTTTAGGGGGTCTTAGGCAGTACTCTATAATCCGACAAATTCGATAGTTTGACACTGCCCTGCAAAATGTTTGTCGAACTACCGGGGCTCCACTGTGTTGGATAGGATTTAGACTAAATAGTTAATTAGGCTTAGGGGGTTAATTACGATTATAGGATAGTTAATTAGGCTTAGAGGGTTAATTAGGATTATAGGATAGGTTATCATAAGGGCTAGATTAGCTAGGATAGGGTAGGATAACATTAGCTTTTAGTCATTACGATTAGGTAGTCCTGTACAGTAGGATTGTAGCGTAAAACTATTACCCCACTGTACAAAGGTATTTGAAGAAACTACATATTATATTATTAATGTTAAATTCCCAAATCAATATTGTTTGTACAGTATTAAACAACATTCCAATGTTAATACAAGTTTTAATACTATATTAATAAAATTAATATTGTAAATGTTTAAGTATTAGTTTTTGTGAATTGTTTTGTAAACAATATTTAATTAATTACTTTCAGGAAACCAACATCTAGCTGTATGTAATGTATTACACATTTTGTATGAGTAGTTTACACGAGTAATGAAAGAAGCATTCAAAAGTGCTTCCTTCATTTACCGTATGGCTAAGTTTTGTCTCACATGTTCTGGTTGCCTGGCCAACTCTTGTCCAGCTCCAGCACCCAGAACGAGTAAGGCACTTAAGGTATGATATTGCTACTCAGATAGAAAAAGTCAGTACTCGATGTACAATGAAATTAACATTGAATTGGTGATTAAATAATATCATCAGGTAGACAAGACATATGCCAAACATCACAATATTAATTTCATTAACCTATATGATACTTAAAACTTCTGACTCATGCTGATGAGCCTGTCACTGGATTCAATCCCCATGCTGTCCGTATGAGTAACACACAAATTTAGTTATTTGTGTATTACTATACTACTAACAGGTGCAACACAATAAAAGAGACTGGAGACTTCTATTTTCTATTCGATAGTCAAGAATTCGAGTATCAATGTTGCACAGCCATCGATTTCGATAGGTAATGCCCTATACTATTTAGGCATACAAAGTGAGTATAGTCCTAAATCCCTCCTTTCCCAAGTCCCAACACTTACCGGGGCCCTCCATATGAGCCACTACATCGGTGAGGTCGTCGTCGCGCAAGACGAGCTTGATGCCCGCGGGTGGACTGGCTGCGAGCCGCCGCAGCTCACGCGCCACTCCGCGCAGCACTTGCGGGCACACATTCTCCACGTTAGACATGTCCCTCTCACCCCGGCCCACACACTTGATGAACCTATAGCTAAGCTGTCCTAATCCGCAAGCTCAAATCCTGTACTCGCAATTTTCGGAAACCATAGTTCAACATCTGGGAGTTTGACAAGAACGTGGTTTAACGGTTTATTATTTAATCGTGTATAATGCGAATATAGGAATAACAAATATCGACGCTATACCTAATCATAAATATGAACTAACGCGGCTATAAAATAACTTCACAGTCTAACGAACGAATTTTAACATCAAATATCAATCAATTATCAAATCGATGTATAGACTACAAACTTCAAAAATATATCCACAAACAAATGTCATATTCATTTTCATAGCCATAGGGCAGAGGGCACAGAGTCACAATCACGAATATTAGAAATATTGTATTGTCTATGGCCATAATCAATTCAAAATTAAAAAATGTATTTCATTTATTATTAATTAACTAATAATTATCATATCCACGCAATTTAAAAATAAGGAAATAAATAAATATGTACAACTTAAAACAAACTAAAATTAATGGAGATAATTAAATAAAATAAACCACCTAAAATTGACTATTTACACAGAGCATCAAAAAATGTTTCATCTCTGACCGAGGAAAAAATAAGTTCTTAAATAAACTATGGGAGACACTGGCAGTATAATCAACAACATAATATTGGGGACTCGCAGAGACTCGGTTGCCAAAGAAGAGAAAAAAAGAGTATGGGCATTGGGATATTAGGTCCGTGGGGTCCATGGGGTCCGCCACGGACCTAACATCATAACCCCAAACGGTTCAAAGATAATAAAGGTAGTACAGCAAGGTCCGCCGTTACCGGAACATGAGAAGGTGCAAGGGTGTCGATGGTGTCGATGCAGGTTGCGTCCCACTCCCACACTAAAGACCTTCCCAACTTCCAGAGTGAGAGTAGACGTATGTCTACGGTATCGTCAGGTCTCCTATCGTTGTCGTGTGGCAAGCCCAAAGTGTTTTGTTCGAAAACAGAACAAACAAATAGACAGACAAACTTTCAGATTTACAATAATTATAATAGTTCCGTTTGGATCGATCATATTTATGCATTTTCTACCTCAATATACATTGAACTTAAGATTATTTTATTTATTGAATGATTGATAATATTAGGTACATTTACAGTTTGAAACTTACCTAAAAACTACCTAACAAAGAAAATAAAATGGAATTATAAAAACAATTTATGTACCAAGAGCGTTAAAAAATTCGTTCGTTGAGCTTTTATCATCGCTGGAGTGCTGGCTATTTTAGAACCAAGGGATTTGGCATGCGACGATGGTAAGACACCTGACGGTATGCTTATTATTCCCTGGAAGTTGGGAAGGTAGTGGTGAAACCGTCGCGTCGGTTCATCAAAATAAATTAAAAACATAAAAAATTTCTGTGGCAATGTTGCCAGTCATCTGTGTACTTTCCTCACTGATATGCAATGATATGTTAAGACTATGGTATTATGTTATTATATATATCTATGACTTTCCTATAATGACTTGACGTCGATTTGAATTGAACTTGAGTGATACAAACTGACAGCTTGTGATTGAAATGAAATGTGAAATGAAATGACAGTGGTGACTGAAGTCTGGAACCCCTATACTTATTATACTCTTTGTCTGGAACGTTACTACTCTTATAATAAATTCTATGAACTTTATTATTTACAAACTCAAAGACTGGACAATATTGACCAGATAAGCATTGAGCAGACAATAATATAAATGGACATCAATGCCATTCAATGGAGTGGACTGAACAGGCAAAACGCAGCAGCAGTGGTAGTCAAGTCAAAGTCAACACTGCACTTCAAAGGCTAATATTGTAGTTGTTCGCACGGACGGAAGCTCAAAATAAGTAGGTATTAAAACAAGTGCCATGCCATGGTTTATCATCGCTTAAAGTAATAAGGGCCGATTTTTCAATCATCAGATAATTATTAACTGTAGAGTAAAATTATCAGTTGACAGTATGGAAGAATTGTCAAATATTGAAATTTATTCCTCAGTTAAAATTTATCTGAGCATTGACAAATTGACCCTTGGAGCCGATTTTTCAATCGACAGTTAACTATTATTATTGTTACCCATTAATAATTATTAATGTCGTGGTGGCCCGGAGGTTTAAGACGCCCACTTCTCATGCATGAGGGTGCGGGTTCGAAACCTACTAACGGCAAGTACCAATGTGACTTTTTCCGAGTTATATGTACTTTCTAAGAATATTTAGACACCACTGACAAACGGTGAAGGAAAAACATCGTGAGGAAACCTGGACTTCTAATTATAAGTTTGAAATCGCCAACCCGCATTGAGCAAGCGTGGTGATTAATGCTCTAACCTTCTCCGTGTGAGAAGAGGCTTTGCTCAGCAGTGGGCATTTATAGGCTGTTGATGAATAATTATTATTCTTACCCGTTGAAAATTGTTGAAATTCATCCCTAAATTTGTTCATACAAAAGTAGTCTCTAATCATTGGAAATAAGGTCTATAATGTAGTAAGTGGAGAGTGGTCACCGGTGACCGCTTGGGGATATATTGATGGGGGGTAGAATAAAATTGACAGTTGACAATTTTTAGTATGGAAGAATTGTCAAATATTCAAAGTTATTCCTCTGATATGAGCATTGAAAAATCGGCTCTTAGAGTACTAACAAAACCTAGTAAGGAACACTGACTTTTGTGGTCTGAGTGAGTATGATTAGGGTCAGATATTTTTTCAACAAGAAAGTTTTGGTCGGTCAGTTATGTATATGGTTGACCCGGTTTTAATTAAACTTTCCTTCTCTGGACGTCCACAAACATTTGAAGACCAAAATTAGCCAAATCGGTTCAGCCATTCTCGAGTTTTAGCAAGACTGAATGGAATGCATGAATGGAATTCATTTTTATTTATATAGAATAAATATATATGTAGAACAGATTTAGAGAGTATACTTGATAAAATCATGTAGGGTAGTTACGCTTCAGCACAAGGTAGCTTGCCTGGAGTGGTACCATGGCCTCACAGAAAATTGATCTTGACATAAGCATTGTTTTATAGGAGTGTTGGCCCAATTTCCCCCCAAATTTTCAATCCCTGATTCCGATTCTCAAAAGGTTACTGATGAAATTATAGAACTTTGTGAACAGTATATAAAATCTAAACATTTTTGAAATATTATTCTGTAATCATGCATAAAATGTATTGGCTATGTGCAAAGCGAGTAGTGGCGGACAGATAACGACCACAGCGCACAACACGACAGAAATTGGAAACAAATGGGGATGATCAGCTGTCAAATGTGTTGATTGCAGTACAAAATCAAAGCAAGGAAATGGACCATGGCTCGTATTAAATAGCTCTGGCCGTTATGTCGCAGTTCTTCCACATTTCTTACATGCTTGGCTAATACTAATTTATTGCCTTTTGTCTCAGTTTGTGGTTGGAAACTAATATTATGTGTACTTAATAGTTTCAAACCCGGTTTTTATTAATATATTCATTTTACAGTAAAACTATTGAATAAATTGCACTTAATCCGTCAAACACCAAGCGGTCACCGGTGACCGCGACCTATTGTTCTTTAATTGTGTCTATAAAACCGGTACTCGACGAGTTAAATAATATCAACAATACTATTTTAATTTTTGGTTTTATTTGTATATGCAAAGAAAATTATATTGTTTACATTGTTATTATTTGACAGCTTCTGTAAATGTTGTAAACGCTACGCGTCGCCACAGTCGTGCACGTAGCCAATAACATTATGCATGATTCTGTGTATAATATATTAGCTGTACCTTCAAAAATGTGAAATTTTGCATATCTGTTTTAGCCCTTCACAGAATTGGATTAACCCAATGGGTTAAACCCATTGTCTTCCTAAATGTGGATCCATGCAAGATACAATGGATTTTCTGTCTTATAGACGCCGCATTAGAGCAGTTAATCCAAGTAGTAAATTATTGTGAAGGATGGTGAACAACAAGGATAGTGAATCCGAGTCGGATGGCATGTCCTCGGGCGACGAGGCGCGCTTCCGCATCAGTGTGTGCATGCGGCGCGTGCACAGCGACCACCGCGCGCGCGCGTACGTCAGCGCGCGGCCGCGCCGCCGCCTGCACTGGCTCTACCGCCGTCTGCGCGCGCGCTACCAGCTGCCGCGCGCCTTCCATCTGCTGTGTCGCGGACATCTGCTGCATCCGCGCGAGCCGCTCGCGTTGCTTGAGCGGGACGATCTAGTCGAGTGGGTACCGTACTCCTTCACTACCTGCGGTTCTCTGTCCTCGACTTTACGCTCCAACTTAATCTAATGTTACAGAGTGATTCCTGTGAGCGCTGAAACTGAAAAGACTGTTCCGGACGAAGTTGATTCTGTAGTAGCCGCCGCCGAGCTCAACTCGTCGCTGCCGGAAGTTATGGAGGATCTCGAGGAAACAAAACGACGTGCGCTACTCATGCTTGATCAGTACCGTTCTACATTACCGTTAGAGGAAGCCGTAGACCGCTCAACGCGGCCCCGCCGGCGACGAGTTAGGCGTCGCCGGCGCCCGGGCGTCAAGCTGCCGGGCGCCAGCTCGGGAGACGAGCCGGCCGTGGAGCTGGAGTCGGAAGCGATGGTGCGGCGCGATGACGTCCAGCCGCGCGCGCCGCGCGTCGTGCGCCCGCTGTCGCCATCGGGACCACATCATGATTTTGCATCTACAGCTGATATTCTAGCATAAATAAATTTATACGACATAATTATTTCATTGTTTTCATGTGTAAATCTATTGTACCGCTCGCATTATTAATTACTTAATCAGTTATTTTGCTAAAATCGGTAAATAAAATTTTTATTTTATTTCATATTATTTTATTTATCAAGGACAACAAACAGCAGTATCTACACTCCTCACGACATTGCCCCAGATTACCTTAAATCTATTTAGCAATAAATGTTCAATGCATCTGAACCATAGCCATGAAAAGAATGAAATGAAATGAA